CGTTCCCACAAGAGCTGGTAGTAATCCTTATCATTTACCTATTCAGTATATTTTTGTCTATACAAGCCCGAATATCACGCGTGTTATTATGAGCTTTATGAATCACTTAGTACTCGTTTTTGGCGATGCAATTATTCATTGGTATATATGGCATGTTGTCTATAAAGAAGAATATTTGCTAGTTTAAATGTGTCTGTCTACTTGGTTATTTTTAATCCGTTGTTAGTTTGGATGTATAAGTTATGTAATACTTAACGGTGTCTATTGGTCTAAAGATTTCCATGCTGAGGTCATCTATTTACTCTCTCCATTTATCTCTTAATACCTGTGGGTGGAACACACCATCAACAGAACTTTTCGTATACAGCTTTCAGTACTGATTTTTCTAAACATGAAAAGGCTGAGAAAATATACAAAGTTGACCCAGTGTATAGATATATACACTGGGGACCAATAAATCACGAAGTCAGATGAGCCATTAACAGCTTCGAGTTCATGAATGTGGATGGTAAGAATATTGGAGTTAAGTGGGACTAGTGTAATCTCATAGCTTGCATTCAATTCACATCTTAAGATGAATAACTAATATGGCTTTCCTTGTCTAGGAACAACAGTACATTATCAATATAGAATGGTTTACCAGAGGGAGTACATTGAAGAGGCATAGATTTAGGATACCACCACATGAGCTAGTTCTTGGCGTACGCTTAATTAACCAGTTTTGGTTATTCTTGACCCTTGCAATGTTCAGTAAACTTTCCAACGTTCAGTGACCCACTATCTATTGTAGAAGCAGTTTGGTTCGATCAGTAATTTGAATAGGATCCAACTATATTTCATTGACTCTGAAAGCCTAAAAAGTAAAGAGTTGTATAATGTCATCTGGATAGCAAGGATAGTTTAATTTGACTATGATGCTTCTATACACCATAAGGGAACCACGCTAGTAGTAAACCAGGTTGAATTCTCTGGAAATCGTTACGAAGTGTTTTGTTTGACCGTTTGTTATTTCCTCAATGTTGTGTAGGTTAACTTTTATCTAGGACTTGTACAATAATATTTTAATATTTATTAGTCATTTTTATTTGAACCCTCATCATTTGACCCTGGTCATAGTTTATCTTTATTACTGCATTGTGTTTTTGTACAATAACGGACTATTAACATTAAAATAATCTTTGCCTGAATTCAAAGTTATAGTGTGGAGCAATTAGTCATTGTTGTCTTTTGACTGTCTGCATGTAACGTTCGTTGATCGATTTGACTCTTATAAATAGAATTTTGTAGTAAATATTCAATTTAACTTTTTTGTACCTAACAGTTGTATTAACTGATCATTTTTTCACTGTATGGTACACTATCTTTTACCACAGAAACTTTTGACTGTTTAATAGATCCGTGACATTGTTGAAATATTCTGTATTTTTGATACAACTTGCATTCACAATACAGTGGAAAATATATTAGGCACAAAATTTGTTTTGATATGATCGCAAATGTAGAGGGGGTGACCCTAAGACGTTTCTTATTTGAAATACACATAACTTCGGAATTTACTAATTCAGTAGCTCTCAGACAAGATGGAATCTAGAAAATATGGTACTGCACCAGGTTTGTGTTTGTAGATGTTTTACTGTTAAAGCACAGAAACGACATTTGAGATGAAACAATTAATTCAGGGAAGACAAAGTGAATTCGGTATTTCGAATACAGGTAAGTAGTTGACTTTCCAAAATTTTGGTTGAATGACGCTTTCAAATGACTGTCAAGTTCAAAGTTTGGGTAAGCGAAAAAGAAAAGTGTTAGTTCTAAGTGATGTATAACACTACCAAATGAAGGCTTTGAGATTAAATGTAGTAATGGACGTTTTGTTTGCAAAGGTAAGGGTTAAATTATGTGCAGTAACGGATATGTGAACAAGAAACAAGGATTCCTATTCACTACCAATACCAAGACTGCACAAAAAACGCACCAGATATTTTGCCCGTAATTCGTGTATAAGTAATGTTAGTCTAATGATCCAAAACGGTCACCATTAATGGATGAATAACAAGCATTGAAGTGGAAGTCATTATTTACAATATATTAGGCGACTCAAGAAAACTTCTACCATATCTCAGTTCTTCTAATTGCAATAACGATTAAACAAACAAGGCTTGATTTGTGCACAATTTGTAAGGATTCATTATTGACTTAAAAAGCTATGATCAGATGTAGGTATAATCCTAATAGTGATGTTAATTTAGGTGAGATAATTGTCCTATCTAATCATCATAAACTGACAAACTTGTCTATGAGATTAAAATAATGAAGCATGACGAAACAATATGTGTCGGCTTCCTACTCGATTGCATAGTCAATTTTGGGGCATATCCCAGTGAGAATCACAGCTGATAAGCCAGAGGCAACTGAAGTGGGTGCTGATTTATATAGATGTGAAAAAGGATGAGACAATCGAAAAATCTTTCAAGAGGTGGAAATATACCGTCTCGGATAGGATTTTGACTATATCTTAATCCATTATACTTTTAGAATGGATAAAATCAGCTATTTGGAGGACTTCATATTCTATAGATTTATTTCTGTATTCACCATACAACATACTAGTGTTTTCAGTTATGTAAACTATAGTTTTAGCTCAAACTCGCCAACTAACTGGCTGGCTAAGTTTGTAAGACTAACGATAGTTGGTATGACCAATAAGGGTAATAGATTAAAAATCGAAAATATTAGTGGCGCGCTGAAGTTGGCACTACAGGACGATAAACAGCAAGTGCTGAACCGAAAAACCACAAGAAGCCATGAAGGGTAAATCTGAACCCATGTCACTCATATCGTTGCTAAATGCTGCTAGTGTTAAAGTACAGGCAGCAGTGCCATTTTCGGTTTCCAGGAGAGTTTATTGACTGCACAAGCTGATAATTCGCGCAAATGACTGTGTCCTTTGACTATCAGTTGGACTTGAAATGTAGTTAATTGTCTGGTACTTGAATAGAAAGATATAGAATTGAATAATTTCTTAGATGACAGCCACAGAGAAAAAATTCTTCACATAATAAGAGGATATATGAATTGACTGTTTGATGGTTTTTGTTTTGATAGTGGTTTATGCTCCTGTAGCGGTAAATAATTCCCCAAAATAAATAGCTCTGTAAGTTTTCGACATTGGATGCTGACAACAGTTTTAGTGGACTCATCTAGCTGAAGGCGCTCGGTCAAGCATCCGCACCAGATCACCTGTGGGAACGCCATGCTCAACATCTGCCGCAATCGCTAGCCAGATTAGTTCAAACGATCCTCGATATATTGATAGCTTATCAAATATATCTTCGATCTCCTCGTTTCTGTCTTTTGATTTTACTTGGTGGGTGCGCTTCATATTAGAAGATGTTACTGGTTAAAGCGTTGTCAAACTCCGAATACCTGTTGCATTTTCACTCCGAAAACAGGTAATTATGCATCAGATGTTTCTAACACTTTGCGTATTTGAATTTGCTCACATAATAAGCATACTGAACCAGCATTTTATCATGGGTTACGTGGCTTGATTGGGTTGTAATTTGAAAATGTCTTATTGATTGTTGCTAATTTTATCATTTAGCTAGACAGCCTGTTCTATGGGTTACTCTGTGAGATAACAATAGATACAAAGTCGCTAAGTCCAACGTTTAGAGCTTCACAACTTATATAAGGTGAAAAAATATAGTGTCGGACATCGAAGTTGAATCATTACACCAGTTTGGACTTATACCGCAATGTCTCATCAAACGAAAATCGTTGTTATACCTGCTGACAGTTGTGTTGGACGTTCGTTTGAGTATTGTTAGCTCAACAGTTGCATGCGTTAATACAAATAGATATAAAGACCATGGTGCGAACTGTAAAACTCTGCAGACCATTAATTTATTTGTCAACCTGTGTTGCGGACACATAAACAGAAAACGAATCTTTCACCTCATACGTATATTAAAGTCTAATCATGGGTTACTATATAAGATAACAGTAGATGAAAATGGATGGTAAACATTGCTAAGAATGATTATCATCTGTGTGACTAAAGTTAAGAAGGCCCGGACGAAGTAGCGATCTAATAAGAGGATGACGCGAAAGCGAGTTATCGGCACTTGTATTTGCTATCTAACAATGGAACTTGTTGACTGCAAATAAGGCAAACAGTGATCAAGCAAGAAAAAGTGTTATGGGATAGTCTATAGCGAGAATGGCGAACAGCATGAAGTAAAGAGGCAAGAAGATGAATGCATAACCGATTTCTGGTTGAGTCTTACTTTGTATATTTTGCCGGCAGATTTGTGTCCTCAGTCATGTGCAGCCATATTTACAAGTGATTTATATTTTAACGAACACTCATTAGGTGCGTATACATCCTTCTGATGCTTGGTAAATAACTATGATAACTGACTAGCTGGTTAATTATTTGTGTCGGCCGAGATAGTCGTCAAATTTTTTATTTCACTCAGCCTTCAGATATGAATAGGAACGTTCACGGTAATTGATAAACTTATGCGGTGAAGATAAAGATGAAAATGCTATAGAATGAAATAGTAAAGGCTGCAATAAGTACGGTTGGATTATTCAAATTTTTTCCAACCAGTGTAAAACAGCATCGTCGTTGATCTGTGCCAGCAATTGTAAGACTACTCGAGTTGGGCGGAAATTGTGTGACCTAGCTTGTGTTGGAGTCGCTCATCACTGTAACCTGAACTATGTTATCATGATTACGTGGTGTTTGCTAAACCATTAAATGAATGATCCCAAGCGTAACAAGTTGTTTCGTGGTGTGGTGTATTCAGTTTACATGATAGTGCTGAACACACCTCCAGTATTTTTTATTCCCAGGGTAGTTTCTAAGACGTGTTGTGATTAGTGAAACAGTGAATATTTAGTGTCTGTTATCAGTCTCATAGTGTGAAAAAAGTGGTAAATGAATCTTACTCATCTTGATCAAATATAGTCTATTCCTATTGAGTTCTTGTTATACTGCATCAGGTTTTGCGTTAAAGGACTGCGGTTTTATGGTTGAGCGTCTATTTAGTTAGCTGTTAAATATACACACTTTGGATTTACGTACGTTACTCTTTTAACTTGGTTTTCAATTAGTATTATTATTAACACTATAACCATTGAAGTCCTTACTTTTGATTTAATAATTCAATTATCATTTATCAAAAGTACATGACTTGGCTTTAAAGAGACACGTTCCCTGTGTAAGATCATTGTCAAACTTTGTCCGATTGAGAACTTGCGTTTATTTGCATTAAATGGATGACTTTGGAATTTTGTTCTCATATTTTGAGCGTAGTGTATACCTTTAGTTTCGTTTTAAATTTGGATATATAGAGCAGGTAGATTTAAGTCTACCTGCCATGTATTATTCTGTATTAATTTATCCAGAACAATCATTTGTTAATAACATTCTACAGCACACTAGATAGAAGCAGTGTTTTACAGTTCGTCCAAACAGAAAGCCAGGTTATGTGCTATCTTATATTTCAATCTGCATTTCTGAGGTTCTAAATAAATTTTTCATATTTTAAGTAGATTTTTAAGATTTGTCGGTTTCTGTCAATTTTATTCATGTCTGATATTGTGCATGCAGGTGCGTTAGAAAATGATACACATCGCCACGCAGCGTTGTATCTTTAAAGCCAGCTATGTAAAGTGTTCGTTCTGCTAATGAAGTTCGTCTAATTTCGTTTTCCTGAAATAGCTTTAAGAGTGTATTGTTTACGAGTCTACATAAGAGTTCTGAGATTTTGAATATATGTGCTTGAGTTGACTGTAGCCATCAAATATCTAGTTATTTACTGGTTTATATCTATCGTCAATTTGAGTTTGAAATATAAGTGAATGGTTTACGAAATCTTTAATCGTTTTAGGGAGTCAAGATGACATAATTAAAATGTGCCAGACCATCCCATATGCTAGAATAGCTTATTTAGATCAGTTTAAGCTGATAACAGCTGTCACAGTTAATGTTATTCAGTCCTATGTTAATTATGTTCCAATTTTTCGGAGAACGATTTGCTCATATTAATAAAAATAACTTTTTGTACATAATATATAACTTGTTAGTGGGTTCACGACCAAATATTAAATAATCCAGCACCATAAATAATTCATTTGTTTACAATTTTATGTTTCATAATCATCTCTACACATTTTTAACACTAAGTGTATATATTATTCTTCGAACCATACACATATTGCATAAAAGCCTATATAAAGCTCTAAAATATCCATTTCTTCCCATAAAGTCTTGCATATCTCGGTAATTTCTGAACACATAAGAAGTAAGCTGAATTAATTAAGCAAATAACTTATGTTAAATAATACCCTCAAAACTAAAAACTGTTACTAGAGAACTCCAGAGCCATTGTGATTAAAAGAACCAAGCAAGTTGGGTACAGTTTTGTCATTATACAATAGATAAGTCCTTGAGGTTTAGTAGAAAGGATTCCAAGATTCGATGGAAAAATATTTCAATATTTCAATTTAGACAGCTGAGTTTACTGAAAAGTTTTAAGTGTATTTACACAAAACAAAATTGTTTATTAGACCAGCAAATCTCTAAATCTAAGTTATAGCGCTCTTGGGATAACAAATAACATAGATATTTTGCAATGAAAAGGATGACATTTCGTTTGCAGAGATGAATACCATTTTCTTCTTTCAACAAAATCACTATTTGAGTTTAAGAGCATACACATGATGAGTTGACGATATCAGTTTCTTACAAAGCATATAAAAATAACAAGCTTGGTGTTTTACCGAAAAGTATCAAATAATAATTCAGGATAAGTTTGCCAACACGTTTTGTGTAAGAATTGATGTTATTTGTCGGTACAGAAATATTTTGTGATACGAGGTTTGACGAATATTCCTTAAAAATGAACCCAAAAACTAGTTACAAATGACTTAAAGAACTTTAATTTTTTATCTTATGGTAAACTAATTGTATCAATGTGTGGTTTTAATTAACTATCCTTTGATCGACAGTCACTTATTTACCTACTCACTCCTGTCAACCATTGTGAGATAAAGTTCTTACCACTGTACATTTACACATAGCCATTATCCAATAAATTTAAGGCTCTGAATTAGTTGTAGTTTTCCCGCATTTCACCCGGTGCATCGCTTACAATTCAGAGGCGATGCATCGGGTGAAATGCTAAGACTCAAGTTATGCAGATCAATTCAAAGGACTTTTAATGCGGGTAAACTACAACTAATGTTCTCCACACGACCAATCATCACTCCGAGGTTGAAAAATAAATTACCTAGACTGGCCACTTCCTTCTGTATCTATCGATTCAACTGCTCCTGTGGAGCAAGTTATATTTGCAGATGTTCTATGAATTTTGCATATCCAGGCTTGTGAGCGCCTCCCAGTGTGGTTAAGCAAATTTGTAGTCAAAACGGTTTACAGCTTCATTTTAGACCATCTAGTTCAGACAAGACATACAGCGAACATGGAGCAATCTTTTGCAATAATCCATCGTGTTAACAGCAGTCTACCTAATTCCGTCAGACTGCGAATCCTACAGACGGCTGAAGCAATTGCTATTCGGATAAAAAAGCCAGAGCTTTGCATCCAAAAGAAGTATGTTCAGCCACTTCTTTTACCCTGGCCAACTTTGCGACCAACTAGTTAATAATCAATTTTATAATATGGTGACGTAATTTGATTAATCTTCATTTTATGTCCCAAACTTATTATTATTGTTATTATTATAATTATCTTTACGACTGTGATTATTATTATTATCATTACATTTGATAACCGTTTTGAGGAATTTATTCAATATCCACCCCTAAATCTACTATATCTGACCTAATTCATATTATTCCACATATTACGTGATTTCCGATTTTTATCCCAAAACTTTTTCTCTCACCCCATGTTGACCATATTTGTTCTGATGATTATTTATCGCACAGTTTCATTTCGCTTATAAACTGATTCAAGTTAACACCTCATATTAGTCTGCTCCAACATCAACGATCTGATTTGATTTTATATAACAAATAACAATTCTTAATTCACATATTACAATTTCCAAATGATGCACTCTGCCTTAAATCTGGCCAATTCTATGGATTATTAATATAGATTTATAATTGTAGAACCTGATGAGAAATTATTGAAAAGAATATTCTTCGTTCATAAAAATGTATACATTTATTTCTTGGAACAGTTTATCGAATTTATAAAGTGTTTCATTGAAGTCAGCGTTTGATGTGTTTTTTATTCAGAGTTCTAGACATTAAATACTAAGTTAAATAAAATCGTTTACAGCAAACGTATTTATTTTAGATGCGAAAAATTTCTATCGTCACTTGCAGCTTAATGTATATAATTTCACGTGACTAACAGTTTATATACCTTTATGTCTGTTATTGATAGAGTAGTCATATAATTTATTAACTGATAAATATAGTGATATAGGTATTAATGAACATCTATTATCTGATCCTAACGGTATCAGTTAGATTGCTATAATATCTACTGAACTTCTCAGTAAACTGCATGAAACTACATTATGTAACAAACATTATTATTATTATTATTATTATTATTATTATTATTATTATTTGAACACATAGATATTGGTTAGGGAGAAACACTGGATCTCAGCAGCGTCTACCGCACTGATAAATGCTCGGAAACTCATTCTATCTGGCTCTGAACATAACGAAGAGCGGAGCCAGCTTAAGCGTAAGCTGACTAGAAGCTTACGCAATGATCGTGAACAGTGGTGGGTAGCGAAATCAAGAGAGATGGAAAAGGCAGCGGCAATAGGTAACAGCAGGCAACTGTTTAGACTTGTTAAGGAAACCGGTATCAGGAACACAACTGTTAGCGAAACAATCTCAGAGAGAGATGGACATATTATTCATTCTCAATCATGGAGATTGGATCGATTGGCAGAACACTTTAGGGATCAGTTCAAATGGCCTTCAGCCACACTTCGGTTTCCCACGATCTCCAGTCGACCTGAATGACAAGTTGATGTAAGTCCTCCGACTCTTTACGAAGTTAAAAAAGCTATAGGAAATCTGAAGCGTGGGAGAGCAGCAGGCCCTGACAGGTTTACCCCTGAGATTTTTAAGGATGGCGGTCCAGTATTAGCAGCGAGATTGAATGAGGTCTTAGGTAGAATTTGGGGACTGAACTTAATCCTATCTGACTGGTTTCAATCACTGATTGTGCCAGTCTAAAAGAAAGAACAAAAGTCCTTCTGTGACAATCACAGAGGAATTAGTTTGACTAATATAGTGTCTAAAATATTAGCTTCAATAATACTTCGACGTCCAACCAAAGCTCGTGAAGAGCAGACTAGAGAAAACCAGGCTGGTTTCCGACCTGGACGTGGTTGTATAGATCAGATATTCACACTACGTCAGGTCCTAGAACATAGACACACATTCAGACGCCCCACAATCGTAGTATTTCTCGACCTTAAGGCGGCATTTGACTCTGTTGATTGTGAGGTTCTATGGCAGTGTTTGTCACTGAAAGTAGTACCAAAGAAGTACATCAACCTTATAAAGGCTCTCTACTCGAACACAACTGGTCGAGTGAGAGCTTATGGTGAACTGTCATCAGAACTGATTACCTCAAGTGGTGTTCGTCAGGGCTGTACACTCTCTCCATTCTTGGTTAACTTTGTCGTTGACGTCCTTTTAGAGATGACACTTCCCTCATCTACATTTTTAGAAGTTGAACTTCTACCGGGAAATTCACTTATTGACTTAGAATATGCCGATGACATAGTTCTATTTGATGAAGACGCTGACAAAATACAGAGTCTACTGACCACTCTAAGCAACAATGCAGACATGTTGGGGATGCGATTTTCTCCCTCGAAATGCAAAATGTTGCTTCAGGATTGAGTTGCATAGACACCCGAACTAGTGATAGGGAGTGAAGTAGTTGAGCGTGTCGACCGCTTCACTTATCTCGGAAGTCTCATCAGCCCTTGTGGTCTGGTGTGTGACGAAATCTCAGCACGGATATAAAAGGCTCGACTAGCGTTTGCCAACTTGCGTCATTTGTGGCGTAG